AGTTAAAAAGTAGGAAAAAAGTTGCTTATGTACCGAATAATTTATTGTAAGAATTTGTGATTGAAAATGAGTTTGAGAAAAAAATTATTTTACTAATTGTCAAACAAGGGCTAATTTTAATAACATGTATCATGAAAATCACAATTGTTCAATCACACATTACATTAATTTTTATCGAAATTTATTAAAAATCTGTATTTTAATTCCCATTAAACAGAGACTTATTATATTTTAATTTTATATTAATTAGGATGTACATTTGACTAAGTCCATATTTAGTATAGATAAAAATCAAAATTTTAGTAAATTTTAATAAAAATAAATGAAATATATGTTTAAAAAGTTGGAAATCTCATAATATATGTGATTAAAATTAAATATTGACTTTGATTTAAACTTTATATAAATTTTTATCTGAACCAAATAATCCCCAAGGTTATTAAAGAAAAATTATAATATCAAATGTTAAAAATAAGTTAATGTGAAAGTGGCGACTACCTTAAAATTAAATAAATTAAAATTGATACAAGATTTTAATAAATCCTAGTTTTACATAATACTCAATTTATCTTATCTTAGTTAAATAAGGATGGTTGTTTTCACAAAGACAACAATTGGTATTTTACCATTTTATTTATTTATTTATTTTGTCAGGGGAATTAAAACAAAGAATTGTAAAACATGCACCCAAAAAGGCAAACGAATATGCTATTTGTGCATCATGCGATGTCCATAACAGAGAATGCACCCAAAACAGAGAATGAAGAAAAATCTTGGATTATGATTATGGTAGAATCATAGGAGCCCAATAGTGAATGGGCCGTGACATCCTCCCATCTATGCCAAACCCAGAATCCAAGACCAATCCTGACCCAACCCCTCCAAATCCAAATACATCCATCAAAATACTGTATTAGCCATAAGTTCTAGCATTTTCATGTCAAAAATTGAACTGCAAAGGCAAAATCGGGTAATAGACAAAATTCATGCCGATAATTAAAATTTTAAAATTATTCGTGGGACAATTGACCGCATTGCATCCATACTAAATCCGCCAATGATCGCATAACTTAATTCATATCAAATATGTTTATGATATTCCAAACTCGACTCAAGTCAGATAAGAGTAGAGCTACTTGAACATTAATATATATTCAGTTTTCATTAATTTTTTGGAAAAAAAGTGAATCACAATAGTGTCCACTTTGACTGAACCTACGTTAACCAAATTCTCTAGTGACTCGACTCTTGTTGCACAAAATTGAATCATGTAAAGTGTCTTCTCATTCCTTTCATCCATTGAATCTTGTCGCACAGAATTTGATCATGTCGAGTGTCTTGTCCTTTCTTTCATCCATTTGAATGTCAAGAATTTTAGAATCTTCAATCCATTTGGTTATGACATAATAAATACTACCTAAATTGACGTAGAATAATCATATTGTAAAGGTGATAAAAGTTAATTATTGTTAGAGTAGAATTTTTGTTTTCCTTTGGATTATATTTTATTTGCTTGAACCACCACATTTTTTTTTATTTACTAAAATGACATAAATAACTATCAATACCCATGCGTTCTTCTCTTTCATCTATCTTTATATACACCAAGAATACAAACCTTAACCTGTATAGTAAAATTTCAAAATGAAATTAACTCTCTCCTTTTTGGCTTTACTCGTGATTGAATGCATCTTTTGTTTATGGGATTTTGACTGGGGTTTTGGATATTTCATTGCAATGGTTGTTGGAATTTGATCTTCAAATTTTGGTGATGAGTTTGTTGGCACATGGCATGTTTGATCTTCCAATTTCGTTATAATCCGTGTGTGTGTGTGTTTTTTTTTTTTTAAACTTCGTCATCTTTATTTGAGTTTGCATGTAGTTGCTCAATTTTGTCTAATTTATAGTTTCATTTGATCAATTTTATGAGCTTTTCAAGTATATAAGTAAGACCTGATGCATGCATGGTTACAATTAACAATTATTTTTGTCATAATTATTGTTGTCGTTGTTGTTGTCTCTCTCTTTTTTTTTTCTTTTTTTTTTTCTTGGGCCTATAATGGAGTATTAGAAGAAATAATGGAGAAGATGCTAAAGGTCGTTAATGAATTCTTGTGTGGTACTTTTATTTTTGGTTTTGCCATAGTCCATAAGAAAGAGATTTTTTTATTTTATTTTTTTTATATATTTCTGATGAAATTCAACCCTCCATTTGATTTAGTGAAAGAAATTAAAGAATAGCTCATGAAAACTTTATAAAGATGCTTAACAATATTTTTAAAAGGTATGCGTCGTGAAGTTAAAGAATCAAGATGCATATCAATGAAAAAAAAGAGGTGTAATATTGAGATGATGAGTACACTACAATGATTGTATTTTTTTTCTTTTTCAAATTTTTATTGGACTATAAGTATAATTGTGAATTTGTCGTTGTGTATTTATTAAAAATATATTTTAATTGTGGTGTATAATTAAATATTGTGGTGGTAATATAATTACCCTTTTATCGTATGGATAAGATAAGAGAATTACGTTACACATAAACAAAGATCTTGTTGACACATAAAAATTCAGCCTAAATCGAACAGCCCAAAGAGTAAAGCCCAATTGGAGGATCCCCAAATCAAATAGCCCAAAAAACGAAGTCCAATTGAACGAATCAATGTGAAGGCCCAAATAAGGGGCCCAAGAGTGCGGTAACGCCATCGCCCAAGTTTGCAAGTCGCCCAGAATCTGAACGAATGGAGTGTCATACGGTCGCCCAGAGCTGTTATTCTATTCTCGCCCAAACCTTCAAGTCGCCCAAGATATCAACAAACATAACGCATTGTGGTTATCAAAAAATGCAGTTATCAAGGCAGTTGTTAAAGTAGCCCTATCACGTTCCACAACTCAAGGAATTCAATCGAAAACGGTTGAACGATGAAAGATAATGGCAGCAGTTAAAATGCAGTTTCATGACAAAATGATCACTACAAAGAAAGTGGGTAGTTATAGGACGATCAAGCAGTTTTCAGAGTAGTTAATCACAAAGAGATCGTCTATGAGGTATAAAAGGGAGAAAGGACGTAGAAGCAAAGGACCGAATCCAAAACTCTCGAACAGAGAATATGTAACTTTCATTTCCTTAGCTTTTAGACTTAAACACTTTTCTTTCTGTAACTCGTGTGCTTGCGCCCCTTGGAGGCACGTTGTTTTTCGTTTCCAATTGTAAAGTTCATCGCCAATAAAAGAACACCCATTTTTGGGACTTTGTCTCAAGAGGTTTCGTCCCTTACACAATCGTCTGATCCTTTTTAATTGTTAGCGAATTAACCCGCGCGAAACAGATCTTTACATACTTCTTCATTATAATTAATTTTTCAACTCTATTCTTATTTAAATAATTCCAATTCGACTTCAAAGTATTAAATTAGAGTCAACTAAATCACTCATCATCAACATTTGTCTCTAGTTATTGCTTGCTCACCCCAAAAATAAAAGGTTGTTGGATGCCCACTCAAAAAATAAAATAAAAATAATACCGCCGTTAAAAATTGACACTTTGGAAAATCTTATATTGAAAAAAGTAGTTTATTAACCAATAAAAAAAATCCTACAAAGCAGCACATTTTAATCTGCACCTTCAAATGGCCTTAACAACTATCAAGATGAAAACAACATTGGAATTCCCTCCTCAGATTGTGACCAAGACACTTTTGTATCATCAACATTGCCAGAAAACATTTTTTGACGTTGGAGGAAATCGTGCAAAAAAAGCATCACCAGGAAAAGGCATTTGCAAGCAGTAATGAAAGCTGGACCCCTTCTTCAAACTCTTCTCTAGGTAGATCCCTACATCAATGGCAGTCCCACCCCCACAACCCCCACAACGTAACTCCATTGATTTTACATTAGTCACCATTCATTTTCCAAGAATAGTACTGAATTATTCAGTAACAAGAAGGCTCTGATGAACAGAAAAATAGGATTCGTGTTAATTTGACGGTTCAATTTTGGGTTCGAGTTGAATAAGTCTTGATTTGAGATTCCATTTAAGAAATGGATCTGGTTTGACCATGGAGAATAGGGGAAGTTCAATATTGGGTGAAGATGAATAGAAAAAGAATAAGGATCATGCTACATGTACTCATACTTTTGTACAAAAGGTTTTACTTACACTCACAATAGGGGTGTGGGCCACACAGCTGGCATTTTTGAATTCGTGTGGGGTCCGCATTTTTTGTGAGTGTGTGTAACTCATTTTGTCAAAGTTTGTAAATACATATATATTAATCCAAAGAATAATGATTTTAACCTTTTGAAGAGAAATTGCTTTAGGACATGCTCTGTTTTTCACCTGTCAATTTTTAGGGGCCACTAGGGCCTGATCCGTCCAGCATTTCCCCAAATTTTAATAGTGTTAGTGGCTACCTAGGATTTTCATTCGTTACATGGACATTTTTATCTAACAAACTGTACTACCTGCACGGACCATTTTACACAGGATCTGTACAGAAACTTTCACATGGTGGTGGATCCCATGTGTGAGCCCCTGTACAGGCCATGTACAAGGGCCCCTGTGCGGGGGCTTAATTCTTGTATAACTAAATAGATGGAATTCAAATTGGGTGATGGACAAGTAGTTTTTTTTTTTTAAAGTGAGGAAGCAATCAATAACTCTTTATTCTTGGGCGAGCATGTAGTAATCAGATTCAAGTAGTGTTAACTCATTAAATTAGCCCGAGTTTTGTTTTTTTCATTAAAATATATTCTTTAATATTGATTTGACTCATTTTTAACACACATTTTTCAATAAAATAATATTGTATGTAAAATGATTACTTTTTCTTATTTTTTTGATCACACATTTTCAATCAATGCATTGCTCGGAGGGCTTGAGGGCTTACCAAGGCAAGCAAGAGATTTTCTTTTTCTGACACAAATAATAATAATAATAAAATTCTTTTTCTGACAAAAAAAATAATAAAATTCATAAAAATATGTACGGAGGAATTTGACTTCCATTTTTATTTTTGGACACCGGTGTTGTGATTCAGATCGAAATTTGGCGCCCCTTTCATAACAATTTCATTCATACATTCAAATTCGGGGATTTTAAAAATTCTAGAAAGAAATTGTACTTGCAGAATTTGAAAAGAAAAAATGTCGCTTCGTAGGCGAACATTGCTAAAGGTCATCGTTCTCGGTGATAGTGGGTAAAACTTGTTTTTCCTTTTGAATGAATTTATCTCTCAATTTCTGATCTTATGGTTACCTTTTTTTTATTATTTTATTTTTATTTTTATGCACTGATCTTTTATTTGGTTATTTCAGGGTGGGTAAAACATCATTGATGAATCAGTGTCCTTTTTCAGTAATTATGTTATGTTTTATTCATTTATTTGACAAATAATGAATGCGGTAAGATTAATTGCTTGTTATTAATATCAGTGCTCTGTGTTTTCCGGGCATGTTTTTTTTTTTTTTTTCTTCTTCTTTTAGGGTTCTTCTTTAATTACGAAATAGATATGTACATAAGAAATTCAATCATCAGTATAAGGCTACAATTGGGGCTGATTTTGTCACCAAGGAGCTACAAATCGATGACCGGCTTGTCACTCTTCAAGTAGGTTTTAGTTTCCTGAAGAACCATTTTGCTTGAACAAATATAATTGAGTGTGTAATCTTATTCGAAACTTCAAAAAAATTGGTTGTTTTAAGTTTTTAGTACACGGGAATGAATGTGGGTCTTGTGGTTGCAGATATGGGACACAGCTGGGCAGGAGAGATTTCAGAGTCTTGGGGTCGCATTTTATAGAGGAGCAGATTGTTGTGTTTTGGTGTACGACGTTAATGTAATGAGGTCCTTTGATACCCTAGACAATTGGCATGAAGAATTTCTCAAACAGGTTGGTGAATCTATTAATCTGTTCTATATCTTGGACGTTATACTCCTTTTTCTTTTTTTTTTCTTTGTTCAATGGACATTTATATGTTGCGTAAGTTGATGATTTTGATAATTTAAAATGCAAGGGCAGTTCTTTGATAGTGGTTATGCTTTAAGAATATATGTGTTTTTCCATAGAGTGGATATTTCATTTCACTTACTGCATATTGTTTCTTTTGATTTTCAAAGTAAGCTTAGTTTGTTGATGTTGTGATCTTTAAAGAAGCTTATGCATCCTGACCTTTTTAACTTTTTAATTAAATTAATCAGTTGATACTATCTACACTACCCTTTCAGTGAGAGACTCTTAATAAAACATTATCTACACTCTCTTGATGCTTTTGAGCAAGTTTTGACGACTCTGCTTATAAGGCATGTGTCGTGGGTGTTACTCATTTTGATTGCAACATGTGCATATGTATGCACTTTTAGCGGCATTGTCATGCTGCTCCATAGATTTGTCTTTATCACGTTTGACTGTAACAAGATATATGAACGAAAACCAAAGGCTACAGAAATACCTTTTATGTAGTATTCTATAATGTATTTTAGGAATTTCCAGAGCTTAAATCTTTGATATTGATGATGTAACAGTAAAATTAAACCTTAATCCCAATAAATTTGGGGTGGCTCATTAGATCACTTCCTATGCACGCATACCTTCACCTATCCGGGATTTGTGCAATTTTTCTGCAATGCTCTTTTTTCACCTGCAGAGTCCAATCTAACCTGCATATAGGTTGTCTTTGGCGTCTTAGACATGCTTCTCATTTTTGCCTGTTATTCCATTAAATCACTATCTTTATGTTGAAATAATATCAGCATATGGCTGGATTGTAAAAGGTAGTGTAGGATGGTCTTAAATGCTTTCTGGAATTGCGAAATTTATGTCCTTTTAGTTATTGAACATTCATTTTCTTATGAACGGTTGATACCATATTCAATTAGGAGAAAGTTTGATCAAGTAATTGTGCCATTTGACATAAGACAGATATGAAGCCAATGTTATTGTTGTTACCTGAATTGTGAATTATATAACTTATCTTGTTAGTGGTCTTTTTGTTTGTTAGATTTTTCCAGTCACATTTTCGAAATGCCATAGTGTGCTACAAGTAAACTAGTGAGCAGACAAGAAACAGTAGTCTGTTTTAGTAATCTACAATCTTAAATAGAATCCTTAAACCTGCTTTCTAACATTGCCCAAACAATCAGAAAACATAGCCTCAGTACGGGAAGAATTTATAAACAGTTTAATTTGTAAATAGATTGGAGTAAGTGATGGATAAGTGGATAGTGCTTGCAGGTCCATTGGAATGTGTGGTTGAAAATGAAGTTTTACCATTTATAAATTGATTTATAAAGTTTACCAAACGGAGTATTAATTGTTGGTTTTACAAAAATTCTATGTCGAATATGGTAATGAGTATATCGTTTGATCTTTTATCAGTTTGCAGCAGACACCACCCAATACTCAATCCAAATTTATACTGTATCTTTAGGATATGGTTATTTTAAAGCATGTCTCTCTCAGGTGGTGATAAATTGGGTATGCCCTAGTCTTTTTCCTTGTTTCAAAGTTTTATACTTTCTTTGACCACAAACCCCTGTTGGTTATCCTTTCTTTAGTAATTCATCAGTTTCTCTATTTATTTGTTGTCGTTTCGTTTTTCCTTTATGCCAAACTCTACCTGTGCCTCCATGTATGCCAATGTGTCTCTAATAGCTTGTAGTGTGTATTGGAAATTCCCTATATATTTGTTGTTGTTACTATTATTTGCCATGCTTATCTCCTATGTAAAAAACCTTAGCCTTTTAATATTAGTAATTAAAACTTGTGTTTCTGGTTCATAAATCATAAAATACAGTGTATTGAAGCCATTTTCCTTGCTCTTCACTTACTGTCATTTGCATTCTCTCCCTTCAAATTGTAATGGTAGCTTCAACCAAAATCAAGTAAATGTTTTCAAACAACACGATAGTCCTTTGTATGTAAAGATTTGTTATTTACTTTTCGTAGGAAAATGAGATTGCCCCTGGTCCATTGGTTTAATGCATGTTTGGGCAGTGATTAAATTAAAATTAAAGTGACGTTGTGTCCTATGTAATGTGTCGATAATAAGTAGCTAGTAGTCATGAGTTCTATGAAATGTGTGGATAAAAAGTATGTTTGACTAGTTTAGTTTATAATTTAATCACTTTCCAAACATCCACTCGGTATGGTGACGGAGCATGTGATGTGGGAAAACCTGTCACCCATCTGTTTATTGATCCTTAAATACGGAGTAATTGTTTAGTTTTCATGATTAACAGTGGTTTGCTATTTGTTGGAATTGTTCAATAACCATAGCATAGTTTAAGGGCATGGTATATTGAGCTGAAACCCAATAAAATCATCACGAGTTGTTCAAAGCTTTGTAACTTTATTGAACTTGTACAAGTACATAAAATGGTTCCTTCCGAATTAGAAGTGATTGGTTGCAATGCAGGCAAACCCAGCGGACCCCAAGACGTTCCCTTTTATATTACTGGGAAACAAAATTGATATAGATGGTGGAAATAGCAGGGTGGTAAGTTTTAGTTGCAGTGCTGTTTATATCCTGGTGTTGCTCTCAATTGGGCTAATTTCTCCAAAAATTTAGGTTTCTGAAAAGAAAGCAAAGGAATGGTGTGCATCAAAAGGGAACATACTTTACTTTGAGACATCAGCAAAAGAGGATTACAATGTTGATGCTGCATTTTTGTCTATTGCGAAGACTGCTTTAGCTAATGAGCACGAGCAGGACATGTGAGTATAAATAAAATCAAATATTTGCTGTGAAGACAGATTTTCGTTCCTCTGATCAATTTTCTAACCCTTCGGTTTATTTTTCTCTAATTTTTTCTTGAATTTTCCTTGCTTATGTAACTTTCAGCGATTTTGCTTTTAGTTATCTTGACTTTTGCATTTATAGATACTTCCAAGGCATGCCCGAGGCTGTTCCTGACACTGAACCACGGGGCGGTTGTGCATGTTAATCTGGAGTGTGCAAGTGATTTGAAAGACATCTATAACTATTGTTCGTGTAACTTTCTTTAGGTCGTTATTGGTTGACTTTCGTTTTTTGTATCGTTGTATGCTAATCGCTCAAGAGTAAGACAGGATTGCTTTATTTTCCTTCTTTATTTGAGAGGCGTCAACAACTGTACTTTCAATAGTCAAGATCGAGATTGTAGATCGACTCTAATTTCCATTTCACTGTGATTTTGTGACATGTGGGCAGCGAAAGCTCTGAACTTTATTCTTCAGAAATCTGGAGCATTACAAAAGCATTGTGGATCTTGATTATACTTTGGCTATCAAGCATTTGAGCAAATTTGTTAACACAGGCACCTTTCCTCTTTTCATTTTGTCTTTCATGTGTTCGTACTGATGGTTTTGGAGCATAAATATTGCTTTGAAAATGAAATTTTCTGTGAGATTTTGGCCTAGAAATGTATTTAAGGGTATAGTTATTTGTTGATTCTTTTTCCTCGTTTTGCAATTTATACGTTTTAAAGATAGGCAGCACAAGGGTATTCAAGATATTGTGTTTAAAGAGGTGGATGGAAAGTCTACTAGTTGTTCGATAAAGATCCTCACTTTATTGCGAGCCAAAAGACTTTTCAAAAGAGGGTTTCTTTTTCAGATAATTGTTTTTTTATTGTGTTGGATTTTATGATCAATATTAAAGAGATGAAAAAAAAAATCAACACAAAAATGTATGTGGTTCGGCGGTGTGCCTACGTCTACGAAAGCAAAGCAGAGATATCTTTATTCAGTAGTAAAAAATAGAGTTACAACATATCTTTAATTCGTTCGATATGTTTCGCTCCTTTCACTCCACTTTGCTCCACGCTGGTATCGGTCTATTTGATCCAAGACTTGTGTTTCACTTTATATGAGCCACATGCACAACAGATTGAATCGATGGTGACTTAAAAACAAAGAAAAATCTTCCAGAAAAGCTCTTCTGAGATTTTAAGTCATTTTAATGTTTTAAATAACAAGTTATTACATGAGATGATTGTTGATAGTTGTTAATATTAATTTTAATCACATATTTCAAAAGGACCTATTATTTTTTAATCACACATTCGATCAACTTTTATTAAAATTTATTAAAAATCTGATTTTAATGCAATGGAATATGATGATGATGATGATGACGACGACGATGATGATGCATCACTTATATAAATCAGTGTACGTGGCAAAATTCAAGCCTGAGAACAGAATAACATTTCTACACTCTGCGTCGGCTAACGTGGCTCACCTCTCCAGTGCGTCTGCGACGTTACTCTCGTGGGAAAAACAAGGTCAATTACTGGAGACGTGGACTCATGGCCATCCCATATTTTGGCATATTTTCATGTTACCCCATTTTCTCCCCTTTCCTTTTGCTCTTTCTTTCTTCTGTTCATATCGTAATCGTATTTCAGCTCTCTCCCCTCGAAGAATCAGGGCAAAGCTATGGCACTAGGGCTTGCGATTGGGCTGAGAACCCTGTTCATGGTGTTGGGATGTGTAATCACTGCCACTGTAATCTACATCATTGTCACTGATGGCCTCCCCTTCCGAAAAGAACTCCTCACCCCGTACGTATTCCTTGTCTAGATAGCAACTCTTATCAGGGACCTTATCAAATTTCTGGAGTGAAAAATACTTTCTGTTGTTGTGTAATCATCATTTGCATTCAACTTTTCGAGTTATACTAATAATTTTGTTGATGTAAATCTGAAGTTTTGTTTCAATGGCATCTTGTATGCTGCTTTATAATTTTGACTTAAGAAAATGTCTGAATTAGTTTGTAATCATCTTCTGAAAAACTGTGGATTTTGATGCAGGTGGATGGCAGCGACCCTGATAGATTTCTATATCAATATCCTAGCAATAGGGGTATGCAAAATTCTCTTTATGGTGTCGTTAAGTGGATTATATTATTTACTATTTAGGCTCTTGGAATGCATGAAATTCAATGTCTGTTCAGTTAATGAAACAGTAGTTTGGTATATAGCTGCTTTGTGTATAATTGTTTGTTCAAAATGTCTGGCCGAATTCATTTTTTGTGTTATTGTTTGCTCCCAATGAGTAGCCGGTCACCAACTGATTGTTTCAATAAACACCGTTTATTGCTCTTCGAGAACTCATAACTATGTATTACCTTATTCCCAAAATATATGTTTTCACGTATATTTCTATCCGTCTCAACATGTCAGGCGTGGATTTTGTACAAGGAATCAAACTGGATCAGTGCAATAATTTGGATAGCTTTGCTAGTATGTTTGGGAAGGTATGGCTGCTCTGTTGCTTGCAAAATCTATGGAATTTCTTTAACTGCCTGACAATTAGATTATGTTGAGATTTTGCAAATAAATACAAATAATAGTTGTGCAGATTCTGCAGAAGCTGGCTCCGATTTTTCATATAGAGTTTTGAACTTTTAAAGAATTTTGTTTTATATGGTATTTTCTTTGCCTGGACTGTTCATTTACTTTCCACTTTTACATGTTATCAAGTGACCTCTCTCGTCTTCTTGATTCCTATTAGATCTACTAAATGTACTTGTATATTGAAAGGATTACATGGGTTCTAATTTTTTTTGTTGCTCACCATCAAAAGAAGTATACTTAATCATTGACATTTCCTATAATTTCTTGCTACCTTCTGCAATCTGGTTGTTGAATTGATTAATGATTTACAACTTATTTTACCTACATTTTAATATCAATTATTTGCAGTTCGTTTGTCAATGGGTAAAAAATGTGGTAAACAGTGCTGGTTGGACTGGAAAATCCCTTAATTGAATAATCTCCTCTCCTTTTGGTTTGTTTATGTATTGATTTGAGATCAATTATCATCAAATCATGCCAACTTGGGATAATTTTCCTGGTAAATTTTTCCCAGTGGCAGTTATATTTGGGGCTTTTATGTTAGATGGTGTATGCTTATAAATTTTTTTCACTTTGCAGCATTACTACATGTGGATACATTGTTTTGCAGTTCCTCAAACTATCTCATCAAGAATCATTACAAGATCCTATTTACTTTGTTTTGCTAAGCAAGAGGAAGAAGTAAGTAATCAATGTAAGTGGTAATGTACATACATATATTTAATATTGTAGCAGTTGAATAGTTCTCAAGCTCTAGGATTTTGCATGTATGCCTTGCTGCTGGTCCCTGCCTTTTGTACTTAGATTGAACATGCCATGACGATGTTAGGATCTCATATAGGCCTTTATGGCTTTGACCTGTGAATGGACCTCTATGAGCTTCTAAAATATCTTTTAGGCCATGGCCAATGTCCCAGTTAGTCCTATATATGTGACCCGCTATCAGGAATAGAATTGCAATGTTCAATATCGATCAGCCATAGACCCCTATTTACTGGATCTAATCCTCCATGAAGCTTTCTATTCTCGTCCAGAAATGGGGCAACAAAATGGTGCGATTAATAAGTTTTTTAGGTCTAATATTTCAGATGTTATTCTAAAAATTTGCTTTTCCTCCTATTACTTTTAGTTGATTATTATTTTTATCTCAGTTCTGGAATGGAATCAAAGAGCAAACTATCTGTTGCAAGTACTAGGGTTCTTTTCACTGTTTTGGGTTGTCTGATGCTGGGAACATTGATTTACACTATTGCTACGGATGGATCTCCATTTCGCAAAGACCTTTTGACTCCGTAAGTTGTTTTCCTGATAATTTTAGATAGGGAAGTCGGATTTTCAGATGAATGTGGTCGTGTATTATCACTACCCTGTCATTCTTACCTTGAATGCTCTATAGGCCTGTCTCATTTTTTTCAAAGACCTAGCACATGCACAATTTGCATAAATGAGTTTGTTCAACATGGTATCAAAACTTGACAAATATCCTAAATTCAAGTTTCGTTTCCACCCATTTATAAAAATTGCGCACATCTAAGGCTTCTAATGAGAAAATGAATTCTACTATATAGAATTGTGATGGTTGGAATCAACATTTAATAAATAAATTTCTTTTTCCTAACATCTTAAGCTTTTTTAAACTAGGTGGTTCAACAAAAATGTCCTATTCATTTCTCTTGGGGAGATATATCAGATCATTCTCCAATCTCTTTACAAAAAAAGTATTGCTGTCCATAAACTTCCTACTGGTGTCTTGCCATTGATAAAATACAATTTCGGAGAAGTTATCTGCATTTAGCTTCATTTTAGCAACTCCAGTTTCAGATTTGCATGGCTTTTGAATCTTCCTTTAATTTATATTTGTACTGGTACTCATCTCTGTTTAATTTGTCTATCACTATGCTTGCAGGTGGTTGTCAGCAACACTAGTTGATTTCTACATTAATGTTGTTGCTCTATCGGTATTTCTCAAATTCCCAAATACTACAATTTCACTGCTTCCTTTTTAATGACAACTAGAGTAAATGCACTTTTGAAAGAACACAAAAATACCTTCACAATAGAGTATGTTTGATTTGGGAACTCAATGTTACCTGGTTGAAGGAACGGTAAGATTTTCAGATGGGACTGTCACACAATTCCCTATGCTGTGTAGAACATGGTAAAATAAGGGTGGCTAACATGGTAAAATAAGGGTGGCTCTCTCATGATCAGAGTGTAAAAGTAGTTTTAGAAGCTGTAGAAGCGGAAATGTTTTTTAATGTAATCAGATATTATTATATATTGATTCAAATAAAAGGAACATGCTATTAGTTCATTCTGCATGATATCTATTTGTAATTTTAATCCTTTAATCCTCAAAAACTGACTGATGGATGTGGTGAGTTGATCCGATAATCAATGAAGTGCAACCCATTATCATATCCATTTTTACCTGAACATGCATTTTATGCAATTATGCTTGTGATACTCTTAAAAATGAGGTAGTGTAAGTTCAGTAATAGATCTTTTAGCCTTGGTGTTGTTTATATAACTTTGCAAGAGAGAATGGCACGTCGCTTCCCGGGCAAATTATGTTACAAGGTTTAATTCGGTAATTATAACTCGTTAACAGCAACTGAAATGGAAAAAAAGATTTAACTGGTTCTTGTATGTGCTATCAGGTTTGGGTGGCATACAAAGAATCAAATTGGATGAATGCAGTATTTTGGATCATTTTGTTGATTTGTTTTGGAAGGTAATTTTTCTTTCGATGTATATTGCACCATCAATTAGTTGATTTCCTTTGGCTGCCACTTTTTTTCCCTTTAGATTTTTTCTTTTTAACTGCTCAATTTGCCCTACTTTCGAATTTACATAATCCAAGTATTATTTGGCATCTCATTCTGTTCGATTTTTTTGTTCAGCATTAGCACTTGTGCCTACATCGTATTACAGCTTTTCCATCTATCATCTGAAGATCCTGTCTTCCTTGTTCTTTTCAGTAGCCGCAGCAGGCAAGTGTACCATAGTTTTTATATCTGAATAATTCCTTTATATTTAAACTTGAGAGTATAACTTCCGAGGACCCCGAGCTTCCATAAATGAGGACTTGGGCCCTCAACCATATTTACTTGGCATCTGCGCCGTCCAAAAATCTATTAAAAGGTCATTTGTTTTGCATGTGATGACGATTACACCCCTAAAATAGTAAATCACATGACTATTTAACATATTTTTGGACGGCGTATGTTAAAGGGGACATAACTGCTAATTAAATGATAGGTTCAGGAACCTCGGGCGCTGTCTTCTCTAAAGTTCAAGGCATTAGAGAGTTCAGTTGTTGCCTCCTTTCTTAAGTGTGCTTTTTGAGGTCTGCCTATTCACTGTGCAGGAGAATTTGACAGATTTATTGTTGTTTATGGTAGGTCAGAAAATGGATATGAAGGAACATTACAGAGAGACAACTTCACTTTGGATTAACCAAGTGAGAATTTCTCAAGAAAATTTGATTTGCATTCAATAGACAAACTTGCCTTTATACTGTAAATCCATCACTCAAGGGAATACTTTATATATTTGGTAAACTTTTCAATGGCATCTTTTATGTTGTTTCCAATGAAATTTAGATTCTTTTCTTCACAGCTTTTGGCAATAAATTAAACATGCGTCGAATGGATTGTCACACCTTTATGTATACAAATGAACTTATTGTGTGTGTTCTGTACATTAATAGCTTGTATGTTTGGTAAAATGGAATGCTCAATATTAGGCACGGTAAGAAGTACTGTGAGTCTGCTAAATACTGTTTGGACCTTATAGGCCTGGCTGGTCGGAGCTGGAAACTGAGTGAACCAGGCACTGCACTGGGTCGGGTTGCATTTGACATGTTGAAGTCACATTCAGTCGAAATTCAGTGATCCAATTGATTCTCGTCGTATTGATGTCACTGTGTTTCTCTCCCCCCCATTCTTCATCTCCTCTCCATTCTATGCGTGTTAGACTTTTTTTCTTATATGCTTGAGACAAGCTCAAAATCACTCAGGCAGTGGAAGGATGTAGGAGGAGATGACAAATTAGCGTGGACGATGAGTATACAGAAAAAAGAAAGTGGGATCGCAAAAGTTGGACATAGTAGTACGAGAAAAGAGAGTGGAATGAGAAAGAAGATGATAACACGTACACGATGAGGTTGAAATAATTATTTCTGGCAAAACTCTTAGGTGATTTATCAAATTTTTAAGGAAAAATTACATATCTAATAGATCAAGTATGACCAATTTCAAAATTAAAATACAAGGTTTAAAACGTAAACGTTTAGATATTATTTATATTTTATTTGAGGTAATTAATTAAAATTATTTTATTAATTAAACATAATAAATTCATAAATCTATGTAATTTGCTTATAAATGATTTCTCGATCACAAATCAAAAATTTTATAAGTCGTAATTTATTCATTAGTCATAAAAATCACAAATTTTATAAATCAAGATTATTTAATAGTCACAAAATATGAAATTAATTGGTCATAGGTAATTTCTCGATCACAACTTAATAGATTGTGAGTTGTAATCATTTTTTTTATATCACATATTATTTATTGATCACAAATAACTATTTTATGGGTAATTGGTGCGAAACGTCCCTACCTTTTAAGTTTATTGTGGAAAACGTCTATATCTTTTATTTTTTTAGCATTTTTGCTCCCATCTTCCATCTTTTTTTTTGCGTTGAACGTCATCTTTAACAATTTTTAATTTAAAAAACCAAAAAAAGAGAACACACACAAGCTATTAATTTAAAAAACCATTTTATTTAAAAAACCAAAAAAAGAGAAGGAAAAAAAATAAAGAACAAAGCTGCTATAGGCCCAAACTATTTCAAAAGTGCAAGTAACCCACCAAAATAACTTTGCTTTCTTCCCTTACCTCAACTCCAACACAGTGCCGCTTGCCAGCCATTTTCAGTCAATTGGTGGGTTTCATTATCCTCCTTTTCATAACATTGCCTGCAGGTCTTGTTTGCTAATGACAAGCTTAATCCTCGCAACTCCGATTGCTTCTCCAGCTTCTTCGACTGAATCTGCAAAACGAATAGTCTTGGGAAATTGAAACATTCTTCCTTCAGTTCCACAGAGCCATGGGAAATTGCTTAGTTCTTTAAGAAAAAGGTCATCAAAGTCATAAAAATAGAAGGGGAAATCCTTGAATACAAAGTCCCATTAGAAGTTCACCACGTTTTATCAGAATTTTCTCACCATGTAATATCAGGTAAACTTCCAATAGTACAGTACGTGAATCCAAATGCTAAAATGAAAGGGCGTAAGTTATATTACCTTTTGCCCCTACCAGTGGCTCCACAACGAATTAAGAAGAAGAAGACCATTCGTTTTGCAAATTTAGTCGAAGAAGCTGGAAAAGCAATCGGAGTTGTGAGGATTAAGCTTGTCATCAGCAAACAAGACCTGCAGGCAATGTTAGGACAAGAAGGAGAATGAAACCCATCAATTGGCTGAAAATGGCTGGTAGGGGACAATGGGTTGGGGGTAAGGCGTGGGAAGAAGGAGGAGTTATTATGGTGGATTATTTGCACTTTTTAAAAAGTTTGGGCCTATAGTTGCCTTTGTTCTTTCTTTTTTTCTTTTTGTTTTCCCTACTATATAAAAAGGAGAATGTGAGGTTTTGTGGAAACGAACAATAAATTGTTCCATTTTATCTCATTGTGGCCATTCCGTTTGTTTCCCCAGTATTTGAGCAAAAACGACACCGTTTTGTCTAATTGGTACAGTGACATTTCCCCCTTTTCACCTGGAATTCTTTACTTTTTCACAAAAATCACACCTTATTTCTTCTTTTCTTCTCTCTTCTCTAAAGTTTAATGTGTACTTATTTCTATTTTGTTTTTATTATTTGTGACACACTTCCAGTTTGTTTAGCTGGAGATTTGAGCTCCTTAATAGAGAAAAAAAATCCAACTCCTTAAATTTTTGCAAGACAATCAATTTACAACTTCTGGTTCAAAGAATTTGATTTCCTGAAAAACAACAAGATGATGGTTATGTTATTAAGACATGAATCCAAGAGCAACAAATAAGAGAAGATAGAGAAGTTGACATCAAAGAAAGAGTTGAATTTAAGAGAGAAAATAAGACAATACAAAGAGAAAAGAATTGTATTGAATATTGTGTTTTATTTAAAGAGACGTATCCTATTTATAGCCTAATTTGAGAGGAATGTTTTCCTTTCTAACCAATGTGGGACTAACTAACATTTACATTGTATATATATTAACAGCCCCCCTTAAACTCAAGGTGGTAAAATGGAGAGCAAATTGAGTTTGGAAACTAAATCCTCAAGGCGTCTAGGAGGGTGCGTTTTAGTGAAGATATCAGTAGTTTGATCGGCTGAAAAAACTGATAATAGTCCAATAGTCCCACGGGTGAGATGATGACGTATAAAGTGACAATCAATTTCAATGTGTTTTGTGCGTTCATGGAATACATCATTGTGAGCAATTTGGATAGCACTTTGATTATCGCAGTTTATGATAGTGGCGGTAGAATGGGTGACGCCCATGTCTTCAAGTAATGAGCGAAGCCAAAGAAGTTCCTGAGTTGTATCATCAAGGGCTCGATACTCAGCTTTTGTACTGGATCGAGCGACTACTGTTTGTTTCTTGCTGCGCCAAGAAATAAGAGAATCACCAAGGAAGAAGCAATACCCAGTGGTAGATCTACGATCAGTGGGGTTACCTGCCCAATCTGCATCTGAGTAGGCACGAAGCTCGAGTGAAGAGTGAGATGAGAAGTGGAGACCATGAAATAGGGTCCCTTTGATGTACCTGAGAATGCGAAGCACTGCAGCATAATGGGATATGCGAGGAGCAAAGAGAAATTGACTGACAATATGGACAGCATAAGAGATGTCAGGGCGAGTAACTGTAAGATAAACAAGACTACCAACCAACTGGCGAAACAAGGTGGGTCATCCAAAGGTGTACCATCCATGGGAGTGAGTTTAGAGTTGAGCTCTAGAGGAGTGGTACATGTCTTAATATCTGTGAGTCCCCTTCGAGTAAGAAGATCAGAAGCATATTTTGCTTGCAAAAGATAATATCTCTCAGAGTTAGAAGTGATCTCAAGTCCCAAAAAGTAACTAAGCTTTCCAAGATCTTTCATTTTGACATGTTGGCTGAGATAAGTCTTGAGATCCAAAATTCTGGATGTGTCATCACCAGTGATGATCATATCATCAACATAGAGGAGAAGAAGGATAGTACCCTGGTCTGTTTTGCGAATGAAAAGAGTAGAATTATGTGAGCGGGAAGTGAACCCAAAATCTCCAACAATGGTGCTAAACTTGGCAAACCAAGCTCTAGGAGCTTGCTTGAGACCATAAAGAGCCTAACGAAGTTTGCAGACTTGATGCAGAAGATGATGAGAACTAGGAGGAGGGCACATATAAACTTCTTCAGTAAGTTCACCATTAAGAAAAGCATTTTTCACATCCATCTGAAATAATTCCCAATGACGGACGGCGGCAACTGTAATTAAGCTGCGAACTGAAGTGAGGCGGGCAACCGGGGCAAAGGTCTCCTCATAGTCAATCCCATACTCCTGGGTAAACCCTTTAGCTACCAAGCGAGCTTTGTATCGATCAATGGACCCATCATAGTGAGTTTTGATCTTGTAAATCCACTTGCATCCCATGGCATGTTTGCCTTTTGGTAGGTCCACTAGATCCCAAGTGTGAGTGTTTTCGAGTGCCTGTAGTTCATCATTTATTGCTTTCTGCCAAAGAGGATCAGAACTAGCTTCACGATAAGACTGAGGTTCATGGTGAGAAAGAATAGTAGAAAATACAACAAAGTCACGAAAATTAACAGAAAGAGTTTTTACTTGGTCATTTCGTCGAGTAGGGAGATCAGAAGTCGTTGGAGCGGATCCATCAGAAGAGACAAGTTCCTCAGAAGATGGCAAGGTGGATAACTCAATTGAGGTATCTATAGACATGTTAGTTGGTAATGACATATCTGAGAAAGAGATAGGATGTGTTGGTGGAGATGTTGACTCAGAAGAAGAGTTTGTCTCAGGAGTGTCAGGAAAAAGATCTGTGGAGAGGTCAGTGAATAGGACAAAGGTATTGTCATGTGACAGGTGAAACTTGGATATGGAGGCGAACCAGAAAACGACATGACGAGATACTCGGAGACGTTTGGAGTAAGGATCCTAACATCTGTAACCTTTATGTTCAATACCATATCCCAAGAAGCAACATAGTCGAGATCTAGATTCCAATTTGGTGTGCTTATGAGGCTGAAGAAGAACAAAACAAGTACAACCGAATACCTTAAGAGTGTTATAGTCAAGAGGGTGACCATAAAGACGCTCAAATGGCGATTGATTCCCAATAATGGGAGAAGGCACGCGGTTCTTGGTGTAAATAGTTGTAAGAGCAGCTTTACCCAAAAAGCGTTCAGGACACGAAGCAGATATGAGAAGAGCGCGGACGGTATTGAGAATGTCTCGGTGTTTGCGCTCAGCACGCCCATTTTGTAGAGAAGTGCCTGGACATGAACGATGAGGAAGAGTGTCATGTTGGCGAAGAAAGGTAATGACTCTAGAATCTATGTATTCAGCAGCATTGTCAGCACGAAACACTTTGATATTGCAAGAGAAATTGAGTTTTGACCATGGTAGCAAAATCAAGGTACAACTGAGGTAA